AATATGTGAGGAAATTTGGAGACCAGCTTCTTGCCCTACCAACTAGAACAGATTCCATTCCAAAAGAAGGTAATCCAACAGAATGCTCAAACTATGGAATAAAGCACTGCTATCACATGCCAGTAAAATTTTGCTGCAGATCATCTACTAAGGGCTACAGCAGTACATTGTCAGGGAGTTGTGAGAGGCTCAGGCCAGATTCAGAAGAGGATGTGGAACAAGGGATCTCGTTGCTGATGTCAGATGGGTCTTGGCTGAAAGCAGAGAATACCAGAAAGATGTTTATTTGTGTTTTATTGACCATGCCAAGGCAATTCACAATAATAGGCTGTGCAATTATTTCCTTAATTAATGAGAATTTTTTCAGCACCATTATTCCAACTTTCCCCACTTTCTTCCTATCTCTGATAACCACTGGTCTCTATATAAGGGCATATAATATTTGTCCTTTCATGTTTGATTTATATCTCTTAGCATAATGTCTTTAAGCACCATCCTTAATATAGCATGTTTAAATATCTCCTCTCTCCTACTGGCTGAGTATAGTGTACCACTTTTGTTTATCCATTCATCTATTGATGAACATTTATATTGTTTCTGTCTTTTGGCTATTTGAATAGCGATGGAAGGAACATGGCTGTACAAGTCTGTTTGAGGCTCTGCTTCAAGTTTTTTGGGTATATGCCAAGAAGTGAAATTGCTGGATCATACAGTAGTTTTGTTTTTAGTTTTTTGAGGATCTGTGTGGCTTAGTCTTAAATCGAACAGGCTGTGTCTACACATACCAATATTACATTCATAATATTGAGTGAAAGAGTGTAGTCTCAAAAGAAAACCTACAGGATGATTCCTTTTATCTCAAAACAGGCACAAATAGTAAAAATGAACCAAACTCACCAGCATCAAGCCAATTCCAACTTTTAGCAGCCCTCTTTAGGGTTTCCAAGGCTAAATACTGACTGGGGCAGGCAGCCTCCTCTTTCTCCCCTGGAGCCACTAGTAGATCTGAACTGTTGCATGTATATGTTATCAGTCAAAAGCCTAGCCCACAAAAATCTTAAGAAAGCAAGAAAATTATTGGTATGAAAATTATGTTAATATTTAACTCTAGGGAGGAGGTAAAGTTTGTAATTTGGGTTAAGCATTTGGGAATTTTCTTTACAAAAGAAAAAAATCACCTCCAGAAGTAAACATACATTTAAGTCCTCTGCCTCCTATTCCTGTATCTGTTGCATTTGACAATGTCCATTGATGTCTTAGATGCGTGACAATATTAGACTTATTTTTAAGTATTAATTTTTATCTATAGACTGATTTGAGGCAGGAAGGTAGGTGACAAATATTCATGAGATAATTTTTAGAGTATTGCTTAATCCTGAATTAAGCATTAAAATATGGAAACTACTTGATCCTCTTACTATTTTGATACTCACTGTCTTGGAACTGATTCGAGCACAGAATCACCCTGTGCAACAGGGTAGAACTACCCTTTTGAGTTTCAAGACCGTACAACTCTTTCTGGGAGCAGAGAGACTCATCTTTCTGCATCAGAGCAGCCGGTGGTTTTGAATCGCTGATCTCATTAACAGCACATCTCATAATCCACTATGTCACCAGGGCTCATTTAATCTGATTATATATGTCAGATATAATTACTAGAAAAAATATGAAGTACATTTTTCATACAAAATGTAAAAGTAATTTGAGCTAACCCACATCTTTGTTTCCCCGGAGTCAATAATAGAAGGTAAAACACTTGATTTGCATGCATCGGTAGTTCGTGCATCTGATAAGAAGTCGAAAAGGCTTGCTACAAAATATGTTGTCTTTGGTGCATTGCGTTGGTTCTTCCGCATAGTGGCCCTACGTACAACAGAACAAAATATTGTCTCGTTCTGTACTTCCTTGCCATCTTTGTTGTGCAGATCCATTTCCTTCATGGTCTTCCTCTTTTTCACCAACTGTCTAATTGACGCAGCCTGCTGTCCTTTTCTAGAGACTGGTCTCTCCTGATGACATAGCCAATGTATGTGAGAGTAAGTCTTGCTAGCCTCTCTTCTAAAGAGCATTCTTTAGGGAAACATTTAAAAAAGCACACTCACTGCCATCAAGGCGATGTTGGCTCGCAGTGACCTTGTGGCAGGGGCATGGAGTCAGGGGAGAAGTCCCCGGTGAGTTTCCTAGACTGTAACTATTTACAGATGTAGAAAGCCCCATCTTTCTCCTGAGGGTCGGCAGGTGGTTTTGAACCTGTGTGACCCCAGGCTGCATTCTAGCTGTCTAAAACCAAAACAAAACAACAAAAAAAAACCAAATCAAACTCACTGCCTTTGAGTCCATTTTGATTAGCAATACTTTCTATAAAATCATTAAAAATCTTTATTAAAAGAAAATATCAAAGTGTGATGATATTATTTCTCGACTTATCCTTCATATAGGCCTATAAACATCTGAAGATAGTATTTCTGTTTCTCTGAACAATTTCCCTTCCCTGAAGAATTCTGCCTACTTCAATTTAGAAGCTGTTAAAACAGCAATTCTGACATCCTTGAAGGACTCAAATAGTGTTCCTTTGAAATGCTGAGTTTGGGGAACAAAAAGAAGTCTAGGGCAATGATCAGTGGTTAGGCTGAATGGGATAAGGTTTCCCAATGAAATTCTCCTTTCTGCCCGTGAAGGAGGTGTGTTGTGATGGAAAACATCCCTAGACACAACTTTCCTGAGCTTTTTCTCACCAACACAGCCATCCAGTGGTCACAGAGACTTGTTCAAACATGTTTTGTTGGAATAAATCCCCACATGTTGAACTGCCACGCGAGCACCAAGAGTTTTTGACTTACCCTCATACACGTCAAAATCCATTTCAAAAGGCCTTTTTGTCATGTTCCTTCACACACCTTCATTTCTGACAGGGCTTTTCCTTATATTTTATTTCCTATCGTGTTCCATTCTATTTTAAAAATGTACTGTGGTTGAATAAAACAAACAAACAGGACTTGTCTAGATATCTAATCAGATCAAAGCAAGTTTCTTTTCAAGAAACGAAAAGGAAATGTGCTTTGGGGATTAACTCACTCAGAAGCATTTTGTCCATGGTGCGTGATGTTCTTGTCTGTCTCTGCAGATGGGCATCTATTTCTTGTTTTCAAGAATATGAAAAATGCTTAGAGGAAATAAGACCTTTAGTTGATATAATTGTCCTTGATTCCTTCTCATTTAAGTCAATTCTCAATTTATCACCAGGAAAGAATTTTTTCCTCGGGGGATAATTTTTGGTAGATTATGAGCTATGGAGGTGAATGTTCTGCTGTTTCTGCCCTAATCTTGGTAGATATTTTTCATCGATAGGGTCCTTCACTTAGCCACTTCTATACACAGTTTTTAACTTTCCTATTGGTTTATAGCTGTACTTATATGCTATTTCATTTTAATAACATATTTAATTCCTTTCCTAAAGGCACTTATGCATATAGTCTACTTAGACTGTGAAATGGATATCTTAGAAGGAAATTGGCAAATTAAAATGCTAATTAAGTATAATAAAGAGAAAAGAAAAAAATTTTGTCATGGAAACTGGGTAGTGGGGTTAAAAAAGTTTTTTAAAAATTCAATATTAAGTAGAATCCTTTAGCAGTGACAACTCAAATGTTTATGATAGCCCATAGTAAAATACATCTGTAGTAACATCACATTTCATAGCCATCTGAATATTCTTTTGTTAATTGAACAATCAATCAAGTGGAACATAAAGGAAAGGAAAGGCGTGTAAAGAAGAAGGTATTCTGTTACCTGGGTCTTTGAATCAATCTCCTTAGGAAGAACAGTCTGGGCTAATTTTTAAAAGGCATTTCACTTGTTGCTTTGCTTTATGCTGTTATATGGAAATTAACCTTTCATTGCAAGAGTACAAGATCCTAAATGAGTTTGAAACTCGATATTACACTTGATTCTTTCTGACTTATCTATAAATGAAAATTTATACCGTTTTAAATCACAGTTGAGGAACTTCTACTTGTGAAATTATTTTCCTTTGGCAATGGGGATGGAAAAGATTTGGGAAAAAAAACACAAGTGCTGGCACAATTGACAGGAATGTTGGAAAAAATTTTTAAATGTTGGCATAAGAATTCTTTAAAAATTCTAACTTACTCACATGTGAAATGAAAGTAAAAAAGCATCTGTCCCATTTTATGCACACTGACTAAATAAAAATGAACAATTATATTGAGCAAAGTATAAAGCTCTTTAAAGTAAGGTATTCTGTCTGGCTTTTGGCGATCTTTATGTTATTTGTTCCATTGAATTAAAATATTATGTTTGAGTGCCGGCATACTTTGAAAAGCAGAAATTATAGAGGGAGAACATTCTCTTTTCCAACTCTGATGACCCTAGATGAAATATGAAATTTTTGAGAGACTAAACACTTCTAATATACTTGAGCAGAGAACTTTGGATCTTGGCCCTTTCTGTCATTCATCCCATTTATTAATGATACATTTCAAGAATGCATGGCCCAGTCTTACCACTGTACCTATTCCCTGCCCAAAGGTGGAAGTCTATAGATTAGGTCTTGAAGAATTACCACTATACTTTTTTTTTCTTTTTAATTTTCTACATTTCATGTTTTCAATCCTGCTACCAGATGTGGTTATATTTTCAGTGAAAACAAACAAGAGGCTTAGAGAATATGAAATTCTGTTTTGAGTCCTTCAGAAATTAGTTTGTCAATTTTTTAAAGGCCAACAGGATATTTTCAAATTGTTGTTTGAGTACTTTTATTGTGTTTTGGTGCTGGGGCAAAAAAAAAAAGCTATTTGGAACACTTATTCAGATTTGATTAACGTTATTCTATTTTGACATGGAGTTGATTATTAGTAGAATGTACTGTTGTTGTTTTTTCATGCATCAAGTAATTAAAACAAAGAACTCAACGTGGTTTCATGATTGTGATTGAAAGTCCATAGAGTTCCTAATTTCCTTTGATCCTTTATGTTGAACAGTTCAGGCCGTGGTACTTGCCTTGATAATGAGCCTCCCAAGCGTGACTTTCTTTATCCAGCTGTGGCCCCAGGTCAGGTGTACGATGCTGATGAGCAATGTCGTTTCCAGTATGGAGCAACATCACGCCAATGTAAATATGGGGTAAGAAGTCTCAATCTTTATACTCCTATCTGTTCTTTCCTGACGCACAGGTTCTTAAGATGTTTTGTTTCATGGCAACTGTTCAGATGCTGCTTTGCTGAACACAGTTGACCGCTAGTTACATCAGGAATGCAAGAATAGACTTTGGCATTGCTCTTTATTTGCTATCGTTTATATAATACTTATTTCTCAGTCGAATCCTGAGGTAGATGACTTTAAAATTTCTGTTAAATTAGTGCAGGTAGAGTTTTAATAAATTCAGTTGCATTTAGTCATTAACACATTCGTTTATGATGCCAACTTTATTTTGTCTTGTGAAATATTATGGTTTTGAAATCTTGCCCCTTCCCCCATTTCTGGCACTCATGTAATTGGGTTAAAGGGTATTTTTACACTGCCTAGGAGCCTTTGCTTTAATTCATACTTGCTAGTAATGAGTCATTTCAAGTTGCTTCATCTGTTGCCCACATTCCAACACAATGATTGAATGGGGACAAGTTGACATTTACCCAAATAGTAAAACAAGAAAAATTGCCGCTTTTTTTTAAAGTCGGCATCATAATTGACTCATCAAATTTGGCTCTACAAGTAAATGCATAAAGTTAGTATTAGGCTTCCTAGAGAAAGCTGTGTTTAGCATAGAGACATGTTGGTAGTAGGGTGTTTATATAAGCATGCTGGATTAAAAACATAAGATTTAAAAATATCAGCTTGTCAAAGAATATTCAGATTTAAGGCATAGGTTTGAAAGCTTGATTCCCACTTTTATGCAAATAGTGTTTTACTTGCCTTTACAAATAATAACAAGATAAAGAATTATGTTTTAAGGTAGTTAAAACTAAACAATATATGCATTATATGCTATCAATTGTTTCTCTTGGGTAAAGAACAGAGGAAAGTGATTTTTAAAATGTCCCTTGCATGACAAATAGAGTATTATGCTTAGTAGACGGTGGCAGAACCTTCTTTGGGCTCGATTAAAGATTGTGTTCAACTACCTTTAGTCAAGAGCACAGAGTATGATGTCGGCTTGTCTTGTTTTCCTGTAAGGCGTTGGCTTCCAGTCTTTTTCTATAGGGGTGTAATCCGACCTTTCCCTCCCCCTCAATTTCTTTTTCATTCAGAAGCAGTTAGTCAAATTTCAGTGTTTTGTCAGTTGAAATTCATGATCACATGAGATTAGAGGTTTCTCTGTCAATTTCTTCTTACCTATGGTCTATTATTTCTTGGTTAGCAAGTGAAACTATTCGTCTACATTTTAGTTGTATTGGAAGTTAGGTTCTCACTTGTCTATAAATGTCCATATCAGATAACTTATGGTATCGGTTTTACAGAACTTCTGGATTCATTTTTTATTTCTTGAATACATTCATAAATATGCTGACTTTTCTCTCCTATCTCTGTCTATATTTTATTCATGTTAGACTCATTAGTATGAAATGAGATTAAATAGCAATTAAGACATTTTATGTTTCCATAGCTGTACCACCTATTCTTCTAGGTTTTATTTCCTATGTGCTATGTGTCTAAAACTTGGGCACAGAGAGACCATTTTGCAATGCTATATGATCTTATGTATTTTATCACAAACTCTTTTCATTTTGATTTTCAGCCAATGATGGCTTCCCTGGACTTCCATACTATATGAAAATGCTTTTAGAAAGCAACTTTAAACATGCTATTATTAACAAACTTTCTTGCGTCATATGGGTTTTTATAATTATTCCCACCTCTTAAACTTGTTCATCCAAAATTGCGTTTACACAATGGGCAGCACTCAAACCCACACCAAATTTTGTCTGGTAAGTCGCACAGATTTTAATAGATTCCAATGACCACTCTAGATAGCTGTAAGTGGCCTTAGAGGTAGTGTCCAGTCTTGTAATCAAGGCACGCTTCAATTGGTAGCTGAAGGGAAACACAAACCAGCCCTACTTCAGATTGCTGCCTGGGGGTAGCTTACTGAGTGACCTCCGTTGTGGTTGACTTTGGAGAGCACTTGACACTGCAGCCTTGGAGAGGGGAGTTGCTCGTGTTGTGGAGCACCATGAAATGATTCCTCTTTCAACTAGTAGGTCGCATGTGCCCCTGAGCATTGTGAATAACAGTGATCTGTGGTAACTGCGCTGGTCATCAGCTTTTCATGATTTCCATTTCTACAACTGTACCGTACCCTGTGCAGAATAACACAGCTGTACAATATGGCAATCTAGCCAGTGATTCCGAGGAGCCCTGGTGAGGTAGTGGTTTCGCAGTCGGAACTCAGGAGTCACCTTGCAGGAGAAAGATGAGGCATTCTGTTCCGGTGAGGTACAAGCTCAAGAGTCCAGAGGAGAAGTTCTCTTCTGTCCTCTAGAGTCCCTGTGCGTCAGCGTTGACTGTCCCTGTGCGTCAGCGTTGACTGTCCCTGTGCGTCAGCATTGTCTAGATAGATGATGGCGAGTTCCTTCTCCAAAGAAATGGTTTCTAGTTTCAGAGAGTTACCTAGTGCCTTTTTCCCGAGATATTTTAGAGTGCTTAATAAAAAATAATAATCTAATACTACTTTCAGAAGAGGAAGCTAAAAATGCAGGATGTTCTCCTCTCAACAAATGGTTTAAATCTGTCAGCGGTTTTCTACCCAGTAAGACAATGCAATAGCAGATGTATTTCTTTTCAGGAAACACTTTTTCATTCAGTTTATGTCATGAATATTTGTTTCTAAAACTCCTTTTCAGAACTCCCTATTTTGTCCTGCAATTTTGTGGAGAAAGAAATGATCAGGAGGAGAGCTTCCCCAAACTGAGTGTCGAAACTATTTGAAATGTTATGAATGTTCTTTACGCCATCTTGTATCTGAGGCCCTGAATCTTGGGTTTCAGTGGGTTTTTAAAACCTCAGATGGAGAGTGAAAGCCCTTTTGAGACAAGATGCAAGTATAGACAAACAATATGTGAAACAAGATTGATACTGGATCATCTAAAAAAATAAATCTACTAGCTGTTTTAGCAGATTTCTAAAGGCCTTTGGATGTTTCCTATAAGTAAAACAGCATATCAATATGCCCAAGAAAAGTTTATTTTTATACTTAGGGTAACAAAATGCTTCTTCTTCTTCTTCTTTTTTTAAAAAAAAGATCACCTTACTGGGGGCTCTTACAGCTATTACAACAATCTACACATCAATTGTATCAAGCATATTTGTATATATGTTGTCATCATCATTTTCTAAACATTTACTTTCTTTAACTAAATGGCTCTTATAAAGCTCCTTGGGATCTATTGTCTCATCATTCTTTCCATTTCCACTCGTCTCCTCATACTGTTAGAAAAGCAGTAGTAACTTAGGAAATAAATCACTGCTAAGCTTATGTACTAGGTACAGAAGCTGCGAATGATCTTTTAATTGTTTTCCCCAAAGTCAAACCAAAGCAAAGCAAAACAAATCCCACTGCCATTAAGTGGCCTGAGAGCAACCCAATATAGGGTGTCAGAGGCTGTAAATCTTTATGGACATAGATAATCTCATTTTCTCCCACAGAGTGACTGGTGGGTTTGAACTGACCACCTTGTGGTTAGCAGTCCAACCGTTATCCAACAGCACCATTAGGGTTCCATGGGAGCAGAAAACCTCATCTTTCTCCCATCTAGATAGAGAGTAGCCATACATAAACCATATTAAAGCTTTCTGGAAGCAGATAGTCTCGTCTTTCCCTCACAGAGAGGTAGTGGGTTTGAACCACTGAGCTTCCAGTATTTACCGAACAGTGCCGCCAGGATTCCTTGCTTTCCAAAAACAATGGATTCATTCAGTACGCAGTCTCAGGCTTGCCTGTGCATTTCTTGATTCTGTAGCTTTCAATTGTGTTTCAAAATTGTTTTTTAACATGTGCAGTGGTTCCTTATAAATTAACGACATCCTTTGCATCATGGGTGACACACAAGCTTTGCAGTTAGCTGGTAATTGGAAGGTTGGAAGTTTGAACCTACGCTTAGCACCACTGAAGAAAGGCCTGGCGGTTTGCTCCGATATAAACCTCTCTGGAGCAGTTCTGTTCTGTAATGTACTGTGAGTCAGACTCACTTTGACAGCAACGTTTTGCGGTTTGGTTTGGTTTAGGTTTCAAAACAAGAGATGAGAGCTCAGCCACGGGTGGATTTCGGGCCCCAGATCATCTGAATTTTATAGGAGAACTCATGGGTATTTCTATCACTTGTGACGTCCGTTGCTGTCATATAGACTTGCGAGTCATCACATGAAAGTACAATAGTGGACATTGTCATGCAAACAGCTAACATTATCAGCTGCTGACCGAGACTCAGCTCAGGTCCACTTGAGTGCCTTTGAAGACAGGCTTGGTGATCTGCTTTTAAAACCCAGGTCCCTTGCGCACCCTAAAGGAATACAGTTCCACTCGGACACACACGCTTTAGTTTTCTTCGTAACATTGATCAATTCTTTTTAAAAAAAATCATTTTATTGGGGGCTCGCACAACTCTTATCACAATCCATCCATCCATCCATAGTGTCATGCACATTGCTTCCTGCTTGAGACCTTGGTATCAGCTACTCATTTTTCCCCTCCATCCCAGCTCCCACCTCCCCCATGAACCCTTGATAATGTATACATTATTATTATCGTGTCATGTCTTACACTGTCCGGCGTCTTTATCAATTCCTAACAAACTGTTTATTTTACTTCCTC